GACGTCAGTGAGTGTGCTTGGCCTAGCAGGAAGGTCAAGGTATCACTCAGAATGAGTCAGACAATAGATTATTCACCACATACATCGTAGATGGCACTTTGTAGTATGGCCACAACGAGATAAGTGCAGCAGGGTGAAACAGGACTTGAGCTTTAGACTGTTTTTTGTTTTGATTTGTGTATACCACACCGTGAACGATACTGATGCATGGGTGGTATCATCAACGAGCCTGGCTCCTTACTCGAAAAAGAGTTCGCCTAGAATGCCCATCTCTCCTCCTTTGGATGCATGACATGACTCCGATTTACTCCTTCCATATCGACAAATGTTGTTAATTCCATGATGTCAGACCGTCGTCTTCATTGGACACCCTTTGCGGGCAGCCCTGGACATTTTCATACAGCTCTTTCACAATGCCATCCAAGTTTCATCGATGCTTCGTGCGTGCAGTATGCGTCTACTTCCTCCTGAATGAGCAACCCTCAGTGAGTCGTGCCTTGCCACCAGTTGGCTGGCAGAGCACCTGCGAGCAGCCTGCACAGACAACAACGGTTTGTGCGTGTGAGAAGACAGTAGTGATTGTGAAGCATCCTGGGCACTTGACGTCCATGAAGAATGATCGTGGGCCTGGAACAAGAGTCTGTCGTACCATAAGTATGCATTCCTGTGTGTCATAAGCGCTATCCTTACCTTCAGCTTGTGCTTGCGGGCCTCAGCCTGAGGCGTTGGGTTGAGGAGATCGACAGCGAGAACCTAGAGTCAAGCACGTCAGCATATACTCAGATCAATGAAGGCGCATATTCGATGATTTTAAGTGCGATACGGTGATACTGCAGTGTCGTGTGCAGTTGTGGTGGCGGCAAAGGGGTCGCATGCTCGACCGAGATATTGGAGGCCCGGACGTACCATATTTGCGGCTTTGAAGCGTGTAGTTGAGCGATCGGATAGTTATGCGTCAGTCTGAAGTGATCTGTGGAGTGTTTGAGGCCGGTAGCAATCGCTGGTGGTTGATGAGGCGAAGTCCTGACGACCACTGAAGCAAATTCGAGTGCGGGTAGTGCATAGACCACCCCATGCCAAGGCTGATCACCTTTCGGGTTAGAGCCAACCGCGATGGGAACTGCCCTGCGCTAAAGGCATCTGAACACATTGAGCGTTCGTCAGTAGCTGAAGGAGAAACAGCATTGCGCCTTGATCTTCCATGCAACACGCTCCCTTTTTGGAGCTTCCTGAGCAGGCACGATGAGCTACAACAAGAAGGACGAAGACGAGAACACAATCGTCAAAGTTGACCGCACATCAGTCTTCCAAGAGGGTGAGAACAACGATTGACAGTACTCGACGACGATTGCTGATGCTGGACAGCACGTGTATTCAACACATCGCCGGTCTCTCCTCGAAGATGTCGAATTCTTCTGACGAAGCTATCGCTTCTTCTCCTGACTGGCGAGAAGTTCCCTACCAACGAAGCAACCTCCCTCTTCTTTGGCATTTCGAAGCTCTTCCAGAACAAAGATGCCTCCCTCCGACAAATGGTCTACCTCGTTATCAAGGAGTTGGCAAACACAGCAGAGGATGTCATCATGGTTACGAGCAGTATCATGAAGGACACATCTGTGGGAAGTGACGTGGTGTACAGAGCAAATGCGATCAGAGCATTGTGCAGGATAATAGATGTAAGTGAAGCGCACTGAGGAATGAACATGCTCTGACAGATTCAGGCCTCGACCGTACAAGCGATAGAACGAAGCATAAAGACAGCAATCGTCGACAAAACACCCTCGGTGTCTTCTGCCGCCCTGGTCTCCTCCTACCACCTTCTGCCAATCGCCCGCGACATCGTGAAGAGATGGCATGGCGAGGCACAAGATGCAGCATCATCAGCCAAGTCTGGGGGCTTTATGGGCTTCACCGGTGGTAGCCAAGCAATCGCAGCCACAAGCACGAACTACATGACACAATACCATGCAATTGGTCTGCTGTACCAGATGCGCTCGCACGACCGTATGGCTTTGGTGAAGATGGTGCAGCAATACAGCGCATCAGGTGTTGTCAAGTCGCCAGCAGCTCGTGTTATGCTTGTCCGTCTAGCAGCGAAGTTGGCTGAGGATGACCCAGGATTGAGGAAGCCAATGATGAAGCTACTTGACGAGTGGTTACGAGACAAGAACGAGATGGTCAACTTCGAGGCTGCAAAGGCTATCTGCGAGATGCACGACCTCACCGATGCTGAGATCAACCAGGCCATCCATGTGTTGCAGCTATTCCTCACATCACCACGAAACGTCACCAAATTTGCAGCTATCCGCATCCTTCACCAGTTCGCCTCATTCAAGCCAGATGCAGTTCGTCAGTGCAACCCAGATATCGAGAGCCTCATCTCCAACTCAAATCGATCTATCGCTACTTTCGCCATCACAACTCTGCTCAAGACTGGCAACGAGTCTAGTGTTGACCGCCTTATGAAGCAGATCAGCTCATTCATGTCCGACATCACAGACGAGTTCAAGGTCACCATCGTTGAAGCTATCCGCACGCTGTGTTTGAAGTTCCCTGCCAAGCAGGCTGGTATGCTCGCCTTTTTGTCTGGCATTCTGCGAGACGAGGGTGGCTACGACTTCAAGCGGAGCGTGGTAGAGAGCATCTTCGATCTGATCAAGTTCGTGCCAGAAAGCAAAGAGGAAGCTCTTGCTCACCTGTGCGAGTTCATCGAGGACTGCGAATTTACTAAGCTCGCCGTCCGCATTCTCCACCTGCTTGGCATGGAAGGACCAAAGACTGCGCAACCAACCAAGTACATTCGATACATCTACAACCGAGTGGTGCTGGAGAACGCTATTGTGCGTGCAGCAGCAGTCACTGCATTGGCCAAGTTTGGCGTGGGCCAGAAGGATCCAGAAGTGAAGCAGAGCGTGCACGTCCTGCTGACGAGATGCCTGGATGATACTGATGATGAAGTACGAGATCGTGCTGCACTGAACTTACGATTGATGAAGGAAGATGACGAGACTGCCTCCAAATTCGTTCGAAATGGTGAGTTGTCTTCGATGCTCAAAGACATTGCTAACAGCATAGACTCCATGTTCTCCCTACCTGTCCTAGAGGACCAGCTCGCACACTACGTCAACGGCGGCAGTGCAGAAGCATTTGAGAACCCCTTTGATTTCTCCAATGTGCCAATCGTCACACGGGAACAGTCTCTTGCCGAGGACCGTACCAAAAAGCTCACAACTGCTACGCCCACCCTCAAGGCACCATCTGTTGGTCCCAAGAAGGTCGATGCTGCTTCCGCCGCTACTGCAGCTGCTGCAGCCACGGTGGCCTCGCAGAAATACGCATCGCAATTGCAGGCAGTACCAGAGTTCTCGTCATACGGTGGAGTGCTCAAAAGCTCGCCAATCGTTGAGCTTACAGAGAGCGAGACCGAGTACTTGGTCTCTGCTGTCAAGCACTTGTTCAAGGAGCATATTGTGCTGCAATTCGACGTCAAGAACACCATCGACGGCGTTGTCCTCGCTGATGTGTCTGTGATCTGCACGCCCAGCTCAGAAGACGAGTCAGAAATCACAGAAGAGTTCATCATACCAGCACCTGTGTTGAAGACCGACGAACCTGGCGTGGTCTATGTCTCCTTCACACGGCCATCAAGCCCAGCATTCCTCTCTGCAAGCTTCACCAACGTTCTGAAGTTCACGATCAAGGAGATCGACCCATCGACCGGCGAGCCAGAGGAGAGCGGCTATGAGGACGAATACCAGGTCGAAGATCTCGAGCTTACAGGCTCAGACTACGTTGTGCCTGCATTTGCCGGCAGCTTCGACAACATCTGGTCCGGTCTCGCATCTGCTGACGAAGCGGAAGAAACGTTGGCACTCAGTGGACCGAAGGGCATTTCAGATGCAGTGGAGCTGCTTGTCAAAACGCTCGGCATGCAGCCTCTGGATGGCACTGATGTCACGCTCTCGGGCAGCACGCATACGCTAAAGCTGTATGGCAAGAGTATCACTGGCGGAAAGGTCGCAAGTACAGTGCGTATGGCGTATAGTGCAAAGAGCGGCGTGACAGTGAAGATCAGTGCAAGGACTGAAGAGAGTGATCTGGCTGGTCTGATAGTTGCAGGTATTGCTTAATTGTAGCACTCTGATCTGATTGTTGCAGGTATTGCAAAAGTGTAGCACTCTGATCTAATCGTTGCAGGTACCGCTTAAGCGTAGCAACTTCCAAAGTGAAGATCCCAGAAATGGCAATTGCCCTCCTTCCTGCTGAGCTCTTGTCTAGGTAAGAAGTTTTGACTCACTTCTTCTCCTCTTCTCTACGTGAACCTCATCTTCCCAGTGAACAGCATTCGAGGCGACAACATCATGGCTGAACGACATTTACGGGAACACTTCTTTTACGACAACCCAAGCAGACGTTGACAGGCCTTTTAAGGACCTCTCTCGCGCCAAGCTGCAAACGATCGTGCATGGGAGGAACAGTTCGAAAGCAAGATGAGCTTTGGACGGTTTCGTGGACAGTCTATTTTCAAGGCATTGGAGCAGTGCCTCGACGCAATCCGCTGCCGTAAGAGAGAGGTACATGAAGGTCTTTTGGTCGACCCTGGGAGGCTTGCATGGATACGCGTGCCACTAAGCCACATGAGCAAAGCTCGATGTCAGGTATGTGATCTCTGGTATGGAGAAGTTGTAACTTACGACAGCACTTCCCGATTGTCAAAGGCACTTCTGGTCTTCGGACACAACACCGATTATGCTGGGAAGTGTAAGATCTTCAGAAGGTACCTGTTGCCGGGAAGTCACCGAGGCGCTCACGTCTGGACTAATCCTGGTCTGCTTGGTGTCCAACTTCACCCGCCAGCACCGACGCTGGTGTCGCCAAGACCACTTCATGGTCTCGGACGGGATCTTCGTCCAGGCAGAGTGAGAGAGATATATATCGAATTGTCGAATTGACCAACATCCGAGCCAGTCCTAACATCACAGGCAGTCGCTCCTTCTCCTGGTCTTATGGTGTAGTTGGTTATCACGTCAGTCTAACATTTGAGTGGCACTGAAGGTCGCCAGATCGAGCCTGGCTAAGATCAATTTTTTTGGCCTATGTTCCGCCTGCTTGGAATCGGCATCAGACGTGTTCGTCCTTTTTTGCTTTCTTCTGTTCGTGCATCTTCACTATGACAGGACGATGGGCAACAATTTTGCACCGAAATGTGGCTGGATTGTGTGCTATGACGTTGAGGCATGACCTGGACACAGTACAGCAGATCCCCGTCACTGCGATGGGGCTTATAATGTTAGCCTTGCTACAATGACACCAAATAACCTGGCTGGTTGCTGTGGGATCCTCGATACGACAATTGGCCGCTATAACCACACTCTTGCTACAATGCTGAGAATAAGTTAGCCAGTTGCTCTCAAGCTTAGAAAGACTGCTTGAGGAATTCCCATTACAACAACAGGCATCCTGTTGGCTCGGGCTATGGCGCACATCGGAGATATAGTACATGTCAGACAAGCTCAGCAGTGAAACAGCAATGTGGAACAATCGTAGGGAAGCACAGCTCTTTCGAGACTCGCTATAGTCATCACTCGTCGCTATCATCTTCTTCCTCTGTGTCATGGTCGTCCACAGCCATGCCATCCATCTCATCAATAAGCTGGTCCATAGGTATAGTGAGGCCTTCATCCTCAGCGTCTGTGTCCATCTCACTCTGAGCATCTGCAGCTCGAGGCTGGCGGTACAGGTTGGCACCCATTCTCAGCTCAGGATCTGCCTCAAGGTCTTGCAAGAACTGCTCATAGTCGAGCTCATCTCTATCCTGATCTTGCTTGCGAGGCTTCATATCGCTCTCCTCTCTAGCCATACGCTTCAGCTTCCAGTTTCGAGGTCTGTTCTTCTTTCGTGTCTGGTAGTGCTTCTTGACCAGTATCACGTCCGGCATCTGCCCGGCATACTGCTTGCTGTCTTCGATGGCCTCGAAGTACGGATTGTTGAATTGTGTTCCGGTCAGGTGGTATCCCATCGCACTGTCACCAGGATGCAGGATACCACCAAGATGCGTTCGAATATTGTATGTTGTGTCATTGACACCAAGATCTGACGCTCTTGCAACCGTGGCTTCAGCAAGCAAGAAGCGTCCCTTCTGAGGACCAACCGGCTCAATGTCCATGATAATAAACTCCACGAGCTCTTGTACGTCGGCCAGTGGTGCGAAGGGCGTTCTCCAGTAGATAGGCGTCGACAGGTCTGCCGTTTGCAGTGTGTTCGGGTCTAGCACGTTGATCGTTGTGCCGATTCTGTAGCATAGCGTAAGTGGTGCGATGTTGCCAATCTGCTTTGCGAGCTTTATTGGCAGTGCGACCAGATCGTCCTTGCATATCGGCACCAACTCGCAGGAAAATGTGAATTTGTATGACTTGCTAGAGGTGTGGATGTCCATAGAGATCAGCTCTTGACTCTTCTTCGTCCGCACCGGCGTGACAGATGTGAGAAACTCAACGAACTTCTCAGCTTGATTCCTGTGTGCAAAGTAAAAGTCTATGCCATTCTGCACTTCCTTGATGTTGATGCAGTCCTTGTGTGCGCCCTGCTTCAGAATGTTCTGCTCTAGATACAAGAACGTTCGTTTGTGCGGGACCTTCTGTCGCACTTGGACGACGGCTCGCCATGTGTTGTGGGTGTAGGACTTCTGGCAATCTGGACACTGCTTGTATTGCTGCACAAACTCGACCTCGAACGTCTGCTGAAGTATCGTCCCTTGTAACGCCTCTTGTTGGACTGTGATCTTGACCTTGATACGTCGCGAATGCGGTTCTGTCCATATGAAGGAGGCGTCTATTATCCGTGTCTTGTTCAGTCCTCTGAGTTTCCTCAAGCACAAAGCGAGCAGTTCTCGAGATTCTGGTGACGCCACGAGCCACTGTGTTGGAGGTGAATGCCATCGATCGCAGTCTCGGCACATGTAAAGGATGCCATCCTTCTCTATGCCAGAGGTGATGTCAACTGTTAGCTTGAGGCAGTCTGAGCAAAGAGCGCCAGCGGCTTGTGTTCCGTCGATCGCTGCACCACAGTTGTAGCAGAGAATGGTCGCGGCGGTAGGTGTTTGCTGTTGTAGGCCGATGGGCACGGAATCGATCTCCATCGACATGCTGGGCGAGTAGGTGGTGTGAAGTCGAGGATGTTGTGTAGAATGCAGAGAGATTTTACGAATCCATCGCCACAAAGTTTCACTTCAGCCCTACGCTATCGATAGCGCTGGATGCGTCATGTAGCACGATTATCAATCTTATCAGCGGCAACGTTGTTGTCAATGGTGATCGTTCATGACTATATCTGTTAAGCGAATGAGAGATGCTTGCTCATTCCTAGTCACTCTGTAGGCCACTTGAGATTTCATCACGAGACGGCTCTCCACATGAGCGCCTACAAGTCTCTGACCACTCTTGCTCCGGCCCATACGTAAGGATAATTACGCTGATACCAATTGACGCTGCTAGCAATTAGTCCAGCTCCAAGTAAGGCATATAACAAACATACAATGACTTTCGTCCAGCCAGACGAGGATGAGTTGCCCAGGAACCTCCCAGGACGATATTGTGCTTACCATCGAAGAAGTCGGCTAGTTGAGGTCAGCATTTATGCTCGAAAGTTCATGCCTACTCACCACTGTAGGCAGGGTACAGCTCCATCGGCTCGAAGCCATCCTGCCTTTCCAATGTAGAGCTTGTCCATTCCCAAACACCTCCCATCTCTGCCTGTCCAGCGAGGCTGCTGGAGCCAGTGACAGGCATAGGATGCCAGTGTTTAAAGCCGACATTCGCATCGCTGAGATCGACGAATGTCTTGCTGGAGTCTGGAACAATATCTCCATTGGAAGCTTTAGACAAACTTTTGGACGGTGGTGACTCCTCCACACCTTCATTGACCAGATGACTATCAATGATTAGCTGTATCATCCTAGTGCTGTACAACTTACCCATTCACTGCTGGAATTGTTCCCTGAAGAGCGTTCAAAGCTTCCTCTTTCTGCCGGGCAGCATAATCGTACAGACTTCTTGTCTCTTCCAACGTTGGGATGCGTCCTCCCATCCATGCGGCACAGCCTGCAAGCTCATCGTACGAAGCAGCCACAGGCCAATGTCGTGCGAATTGTAGTGGGACTGGGCCAAAGACAGTCTTGACAGCTTTGTTCTTCATCGCAGGATCACAGCCAGCATTGTCCTCGTCAACGGTCCATGATGCTGGCAAGTTGTTGCTTTGGACGGCGGCCAGATACTCTGCATAATCTTCGTTTGTGATGGGTCGAGAAGATGCCTGGAAGGCTTTGACTCTCGAGCTTCGCACAGGTTTCTCGACATCCCAGCCGAAGTATCGAAGAGGTCCATCACGCGAATCGGGGTCGTCGAGGCCCATAGTTACTGTCTGTGCTGGAATCTTGACCCATTGCTGCTTGATCGCTGCATGAGCCGCCTTACCAGCAAGCTGTTCAAAGTCGGGATGTACCTCACTGGCTGGTGGAAGTGTCTTGTCGCTCTGGATGAGCATGTACAACAAGGTCTCAAGATGCATTGCCTCATGCTCGAGACCGAGCCACAGCACACGACCAGCCCAAGATGTCTCATATGCCAGACCAGAAGTATACATTTCCGTCACTCTGGCGCGCACCCGCGCCTGATATTGAAGAATGTCCTCAAGTGGTGGCCACTCCTCTGGGATCTCGCTGTGCGCATGACAATGCTCCGGGTTGTCGACATCGGGGTCAATGCCTCGTTCGAAGATGCTGTGATAGTACTTGGGCTCTGTTGCTGGCAGTCCAAGCCCTTGAGTGAGCTTCATGTCGAGGAATGTTGGAATATGGCCTAGGTAAAATATGCATGCATTACGAAGCTTGATTGGCTTCGATTTCAGCTCTCCGTTAGGGATCATCTGTAGGGTCACGATGTCCCAGACCTTCCACAGCGCCTGCCATTCATCCAGACTAGGCACTGGATGAGCTGCGTACTGATTAGGCTGTGAAGCAGACATGCCGTTTGCTGCCTTGATCATGTGAAGACCTGAGGAAGTAAGTAGCTGGCGCGCGAGTGAAGGAGAGAAATACCATAGTCACCTGCTTTATTGAGCCAGCAGGTACTTTCCACAGCTCCAGCGTCTTGCCAAAGTTTAGCAGCCTGAGTAGGACTATACTTGTAGCTCTCTTCAATCCGGACCCATTCACCTTTTGCAACAGCAACACCAAGGACTTCGACATCAACCTTTGGCGATACGAAGGCTTGGTGTGCGCCTAGCACAGCATCGTACTTTCCAAAGGCAGTCCAGCTGTCCAGGTGGAAGACCTCCTTTCCGAGCAGGTCGTTAGCATGTTGTAGTCCATTGATAGTAAATCTGGCGGTCACATCGTCCCTATCGTTGTAGGCCAGCGTGACCTTATCACTGTCTTGGCATCCATCGAGAGCTATCAGGAAGCTGTCGCGGTCTGACAATAAGCTTGTGAAGCGTCTCACAAACTGTGCAGCATCCTCTCTGTTGAAGTTACCGATAGAGCTGCCTATGAGATGACAATTAGCTCTTTCGTGAAAGTTATAGCATCGGACGAACCCATTGACAGCACAGTTTTTGGACGAGCTTTGATGTCTGACCTTTGTAGCCACTCCAGACCATCATCGTACGTGCCGTGCAAGCCTGAGCAAGTGACATGTTTGAAGGTTCCTTCAGGGATTGCAGAGAGCGTACGCTTCAGCTCTGACTCGTCCAGGTCAAGGGCATAGTAATCGATCCGTTTCTGCATGGCATCGAGAGCACCGAGCAAGATCTTGATCTTGCGCAGATTGCTAGGTTGTATGAGCGTCGAGCTCGCAGATAGCTTGTACACTTACCCGCTACCCAGTTCAAGAAGAATAGCTCCATCTGGAATCCTCTCCGCAATGCGTATGGCATATGTCTCCAGGACATTGATCTCTTCGTTGGTCAAGTAGTACTCATCGAGGTACGTGATCGTCTCGAACAGTTTCAGTCCTACTGCGTCGTATAAAAGCAGTGTTGGCAGAGTCTTGCTGCAGCCTGGGGCAGGGTTGAGACCTCTACGGATCT